ATTATTTAATAATTTTTAAAAATATTTTGTTACATTATTTTATAAATAATAATAATATTAGTTATAATAAGTAAAATAATAAAAATAATATGATGATGTTAATAAAAAATTATAACAATGAGTATTGTTAAAATTAATTTATGTTTCTTTACGTCTTATCGGTTCAAATGTTAATTATTCTTTGACTGAACAAAGTCTTTTAATCATTTAAACAGAGCGTGTCCATAAAATATAAACAAAAAATTTTACCATATATCTTCAATTATTAATATTATGTTATAAAAAAAAAAATTTTTTTTTCTAGTCTTGTGAAAAAATGACTCGTCATTCATCAAATTTTTGTATTCTTATTGCCAACTGCTATATATTAAAATTTTTTCAAACCAATATCAAAATAAAATAATAATGTACTTTAATTTATAACTATTTATATATTCATACATATTTATTATTACGAAAAATTTGAATTCTTTGGATTTTGAACGGAATTCCCAAGATGATTCAATATAAGTTGCAAATCAACCTTTCTCCTATAACCCAAAATTGCACAATAAAAAGAAAACTCGTTCTTTCTACGCATTAAATTCGATATTTTTTTGATTATTTTTACTATAACGAAATAAAAAAAATATTTCTCGAAATTTTTTTCTCTTTTAATTTCAGTGTTTGATTATAGAATTATCGTTATTTGTAACTATTATTGATTATAATTTGTAGCGAATTTTATAATAATAATAATAATATTATTTAAATATTATTAAAATTATTATTGTTATAAATAAATAAAAATATTTATCATTTTTTTTGAGTTTTGCCATTTAAATTTTTTAATTTAGAATAACAAAAGCTAAAAAACTACCAAATTACAAGAAATTTTATCAAAATATTTTTTCAATTTTAATTAACCATTAAAATATATTTATTTTAAACAAATAATTTTTCTTTGAAACAAAATAATAAAATAAAAAACTTTGTTAATATCATAAACTTAAGAGAAAAAATAAAATTTCTTTTATGGTAAAATAATTTAAAAAATTTTACAATATATACATTCGAGGTGAAATAAAAATTAAAAAGTCGACTCTGCTTATATCAACAACTGTTGCGACGCGAGAATGTGCGAGTTGCTTGGAAAATTGAATAATCCTATTTCGTAATCACACACACACACTCAGTAATGAACCTTATAACTCTGCCATTTTTCTCCTCTTATTTTCAGAAATATTTAAAAGTTTCACAAAAAAAAAAAAGTTACATTCAAATTCTATAAGAATTTGTAACTTTATATTTAAATTCAAATTTTATTCATAAAATATTCACGTATTATAATTATTTTAAAATAAAAGATTATTCTAATTATTTGATGTATATAATTATTTGTTAAATTAGAAATAAATAATTATTTTTTACTGCATTATGTAAATTAGATTTTATTTTCCGTTAGAAAAATCAAAATTTTCGAGAATCTTTTTTTAACGATCTAATAAATAAGAATCTAATGAATGTGTGTGATGAAAAAAAAAATCATTTACATTTACAATCACGGAAAAATTATTATCTTAAATTGTATATGTATATACAAAATTATCTTGAAATTTATAAGCTTTTTTTTCAATCATACGATGCATTAATTTATTAATATGCTTGCCTGTCATTTGAAAATTTATAACATGTCTTTTTTTTTTTGTTCCTTTAAAAATAAAATTTAACACTAATTTATGTTTACCGTTAGAAAAACTTGTAAATAAAATTTATCTTCAAATTCGACGGAAAATTAAATATTTATGAGAATTTTTTTGTCCACTGCCAATCGTTTAAGAAAAATTAATTGATCTTTTATTGTTATCCATTATACGCTATTTCTGTTATTTTTTTTTATTTCTTACGTGAAAAACAGTATAATTTTATTTTTTAATAAAAAAAAAATTTTCTAATTTTTTTTATGTAGTTATATAATTTTTTTTTTTTTAATTACAAACATTTTTTTATGTTTTGAAATGTGATTTTAATGCAAGCAAAAAGGATATTTCAATTTTCGAAAATATTTTAATTTTTCTTTGCAAAACATTAGGAGGGGGGGAGGGGGAACTATATGCACGGTATAATGTGTATAAAAAGAATCTATTACGCTCGCTGATGTAAGAAAGTTGTCTAACGATAACTTTCAGTCCACATAGTCATTAATGTGCTCGGGTATATTAACCTTCTACACATATATGTATTATATGAAATCCCAGAATTAAATTACTTTTATATTTCTGTAATTTAAATAAATACTATTTCAGAGAAATTTGTATTTAGTGCATTATGTGCGTTACGTTTAAACGTAATTACAGGAATTAAATAGAAAAACGCATTTTTTAGGTTTATTTTTTTATTTTTTAAACTCTTTTTAAACTTGAGAATTCCGTTAATTGTCTAAATCGATTATAACTGTCAACATGTGAGTGACGATAGAGAAAAAAAAACATTTTTTAAAAATAATTATAATAAATTAAATAAATATATTTAAAAATTAATTAAATAGTAATAAAAAAGAAGGCCGCCATAAAAAGATACATTAAAAAAAAAAAAAAAAACAGGAAATCGATCAAGGTCCACTTGAGATCAATATTTGGATATCAAAGTTCAATAATTAAAGAAAGGATGGATTTAAAATAATCCGAGCACGTGTTCATTGATTCTGCGTCAGTTGATTAATAATAAACCAATCGAAAATATTGAATTTAAAAAAAAAAATTTGAAAATACTTGAAGAATTTGAATTTTGATTAAAATTTTTCTGAATATGAAAATAATGTAATTGAAATGTGAATAGCAAAAAAAAAAAAAAAAAGATATATGTAAATTTTTCAAATACGTTTTTCTTTTTTACGTCAATGGCCTTAAAAATGCAAAAAGATATATTTCTCTTTTGACAAACAATAAAATTGATTCCGTTAATAGAGAAGTGTAAATATAATGGTCAAAGGTCTACAACCCTCGTGTTTTCGAATTAAATTAAATTACGTAAAAATTCAACGTATTATCATTAACGTACGCAATTGTTTCTGCATTCATTCATTCACACATTCATTTTTAAATATTTACATACAATATCGTTAATTATACAAAAGGGGTTAAAATATTCATCATCTTCAGACACAAGGAAAATATTTAACATCTTTTTTTTTTTTTTTTTTTAAATGACAATTTAGGAAATAAATACCTATACAAAGTGTATTTTAATAAAAAAAAAATAAATAAGAAAGAAAAATAAATAAAAATATATTTTTTTAATAATAAATAATTATTTTTGAGTCTAAAAAAGTTAGATTATTATTTATTTTTTATCCTGTAATTATTATAAATATAATAATAATTTTTCTTTATAAAAAAAAGCAAACTGTATCAAGTTTTATTAAATAATATTTGAGAATTAAAAACAATTGTATATTTATAAGGTTTGAAAAAATAACTTTGAAATTCAAATTTTATCTTTGTCTAATTATATATTCAACGAAATTACATTTTTTTCAATTTTTTTTTTTTCTCTTTTTCACACCAAAGTCGTTCTAGAAAAGTCAATTTGTCAATAATGTGCAAACTTCTTTGAATAGTTTAACTTTTGCAAATTATGTGGTATTTTTTTTTTATACAATGACGTATCTTTCTTTCCACGGGACTTTTGATGTCTTTCAAAACGTTATTATACATGCGTTACAGACATAAATTAACAATTGATTGTTGTCCCAGAATTAAATATTAAATCGTGCGTCAATTGTATAGAATTTGTATTTTTAATCATGTCCAATTTTTCCTAGCAGCTCAAAATTTTATTCCATTTACTTTACTTTTTTAATTGTTTTATTGAAAAACTTTGAAATTTTTTTTTAAATTTATTTTTATATTAATTAATTTTTCATATATAATTTTAATTATGTAAACTTATTATTATATTTTTTATTTGCAATTTTCAAAATGCATAAATTTAATATTTTTAAAGGAAAAGTATGAAAATTCATTAAAGTCAAATTTCAGACAAGATTTATAAAAATCTTTTATTAATTATTGCCTCTGGTCATAACCTATGCAAATATTAAACATAAATTGTTTTTTTTTTTTTATTGCATTTCATATATAACATAACGACGCAAATTAGTTAAGAAAAAAATAATAATAAAATAATTTTTTTTTAATATACTTGTTTCTTTTTTTGTAATTTTTAAAATATTTAAATTTATTTATATAAAATATTAAGTAACGCAAAAAAGTCATTAAATGCTATTGCCCTCATAATAAGCAACATATAGAGTTTTATATTTCAAGTTTTGTTATAATTTTGTTACATATAAACAAGTTAAAAAAAAAAAATTGCAACTTTTTATCATATACTACTTTAATTAGTACAGGAAAATTTTTTCCCCCTTTTTTTAAATAAAAATATAAATTTATGAATTAATATTATATTTTTAAAATGAATAAATAATAATAAAAATTATAATTATTATTATTACAAAAAAAAATTAGAGCATTAAAATCCAAGCAGGAGTAAATATTAAGTAAAGTAAATCGCATATATTAGATTACGCATAAACTTGAGGTTAAGAATTTAGGTCGAAAAAAATTAGTATTTAAAATTCCGAAACTCGATTGAATTCACATTTCAGATAAACAAAAAAAAAAAAAAAAATGAAAGAATAATTAGGCTAATTTATGCCTTTTAAATTGAAAGGAAAATCGAATGTCATTAACGTTTATTTTCTTTTGTTTTGTCTCGCGAGTTATGTTAATTCAATGAGAAATTTTTTTTTCCAAAAGAAAATCGCTTACTTTTTGGCAAATTAAATTTTTATATATTTTCAGTTTCTCATTATAAATTAATTAAAAAAAAAAAAATTATTCCCATTTTCTGTACTTTAATTAAAAATAATTCTGATAAATTTTTAACCTAATCCCATTGTATAAATAAAATGTTTGTTAAAAATAAACTAATAAATTTTTTTTTTTTTTAATTTTCAGAACCAGCTTGCGGAAGATTGCAAGGCACGAGGAGCCAGAATTCAGTAACGCCAGTATTTTAAATAGCATGGAAAAATTTGTACGAACGGTGAACGAAATGGAGGATACAATTCTCGTTCCAAGTCGATTATTGGACTTGGTTGTGGGCGATTCCACGGACATTGTTTGCGAAAAGGGCAAACGTGGATCAAACATCAAGGACACAATGGCCAACACTGATCTTTATCGACTTTATAATATTGTCAATAAAATGAAAGTGGAACTTCTTTGGTCGCAAGAGAGTCTCAAATCGCAAGTTGATCTTGAACGTGATGACAATCAACAACAAAGAGTCAAAAGTCAATCGGATACAAGTAGCGTACGTTTGGGTCATGCACGTTGTCCTAGTACAACATCAATGCAAAGTGTACAAAGTGCATCATCAATGGTTTCAAGTTCATCGGATTCTGAATCGGATGCTGGCATTGAAAATGATTCGGGTCTTGAAACTGAGGAATATGGCGATAGAATGGCAACAATAGCTGCTGAAAATTTTAGACGTCATTTACGTGGTCTTCATCGTAGTATCGCTCGTATGACCGAAGCTGCTGAATATCTAACTCTTCGATATCAGGCGGATGTTGGGGGACAAGTCTGATATCTCAATTTATACTATTCATCTCACTGTCGATCCTTCTTTACCACAATCTCGATTTATCTCGTTCTACTCTTTTTCTCAACAAAACATTTTTCTTGGACCATTCTAAATCATTAGAATTTCGATCTTTTTTCTCCTCGAAAATTGAATCTATTTCAAAAAAGAAAAATGTTCCCATTTTCTAAAATTCTGTTTACCTTTTCTCCAAAATGATCAAAAAAATTTTTAAAAATCAAAACCTACCGAATTTAAAAAATGTTGACATGCATGAAACAAAAAAAAAAAAAAAAACAAAAAAAAATTTAACACTTTTGATATAAAATGTACTGAGAAATTTTCGTGAAAAAATTTTCTGAGTAAAAGAAAATAATTTAATGTATATTATCGAGACGAAAAAATTTAAGGAAAAATATGTCACGACGATGGTTTTAATTTATTAATTTGTGAAACTGGGTCGAAAAAAAAATTCTATTTTATTAATGTAAATTTTCCTAGTCATTTTTATATTGTTTTTTACTTAACGTTTTAATTTTGTTAGTTTTCTCCTAAAATTTTATAGATACAAAATGTAATAAAAGTTTATCGCAATTTTTAACGGCTCAGTTCAGCGAAATAAAAAAGAACTTATAAGAGAAATAATAAAAAATCATTTTTTTTGTTCGATATAAGGAAATAAGTTTTCCATTTGAGAAAAAGATTAATCGAAATACATAACTAGTGTTTTGCTCAATGTTTATCGACTTTAGAAAAAAAAAAACGCATTTTTCGTATCGCTAGACGACTGGTTCGGTAATTAGGATCGATATTGTATATAGAGTTAGGTTTCACGTCTATTTATTTTTTATTACTCCCTATGTTTAAACGATTCTATTTATATTAAACAAAACAAAAAGAAAAAAAAAGGGAATCGAAAACTTGCGTTGTATGCACGTCGCAAGTTTAAGTTTCTTCAACAATTTTTTTTTTTTTTTTTAATTAAAAAAATACCTCTGAAAAATGCAATTCTATTTTAAGTAAATGTAAGAAAAATGAAAAAAAAATGGTAATTTCTTTTTTAATTGTAAAAAAATTGGTTTGGTATATTGAATTTTTCAGAAGAATTTTTTTCAAAGAAAAAAAAAAAAAAAAAAAAAAAAAAATTAAGAAAAAAATGAGAAAGGCTGCATTGAGCAAATTATTTACGGCAAAGAATATTATTATTGTGCTTTGCATGGAGAGTAACTCACACCTTGTTTCACTCTGTATATAATTTGTAAATAAGATCGCGTAATGTAAATCGTATATAGTTGTAAATTGGCTCACGATTGCGTGTCAATTCGTATAGTAAAATTTCAGAAGTTTTTTTTTTGCGCACGCATCACTTTGATTTGATTTGCTTTTGCAGTCCATAAAGCACTTTGTACTATTTACATTTTTCGATTATAAAAAATCACATTGTAAGTCTCGTGCCAAAAATTTTAATCCCAAGTGTAAAAAAAAATGCACGCAAACGATCGTGTATTTTTTTTCTCTTTTATGGCGATTTTTCTTTTATTTCGTCTTCTTTTTTATCTATTCAAATTCTTGTTTTCATTATTTTATTCAATTTCTTATTTGTTTCTATATTATTTCAGTTTTTTCACTTTCTTTTTCCATTAAAATTTTATCCTTATTTTTTGTTTCTTTGGATTAAAATTCTTTTTTTATTTTTGTTTTTTTTCTTAGCCATTAAAAAAATGTAGAATCGTATATAGCATTCCGCAAAAGCAATGACGCGAAATTCCTAGTTTATTTTTTTTTTTAAAAAAAAGATGTTTTCTCACAATTTTTTGCCTAGAAAAATGCGAGTAACTCTTAAAAATTATTATTATTATTAAGAATCAATTGTCAGTCTATTATAGTTTTTAGAAAGGTGATATTGTCTTCATTTGTGAAAAATGAAAAGAGAAAGAAAAAAAGAAAATTTACCACTGTTGACTATACATTTGTTTATCATATATAACTTTATCAAAAAGCCAAAATGATTATAAAATTATGTATTCATCGTGGTATATATGCGATTCAAAAAATGACAAAATTTTTATTTCTACTCATTTTTCAATTAATTAAAATGTTTCGTTAATATACTTTAAAACTTCATTAGAAAAATAAATTTTTTTGTACTATTATGTACGACAAAAACTTTGAAAATAAATTTGCAATTGCATTTTACAATATTCTGGTGTAATTATTAATCCCTTAGAATTTTTTAACTACAAACCTCTAGTTCATTACAATTAACTTATGTTTAAATCAAGTTTTATTATATTAATAATATAATAATTTGTCTTAAATTAAATATTTTTTAATTTAATAAATTAACGAGCAACTATTTCAAAAATATTAACTTAGTTTATACCAAGTGCACCAATTTTCTCCATGGTTATGAAAACCGTTGAATGCGCATGCATACATTCAAAATAATCATTGTGTTTAAAAGTAATTTCTTAAAATTTCATAGAAATTTTATAATTTAGTTATCAGGAAAATATGAAAAAGTCAGGATATTCTGAAAATTCTACTCAAGTGGACTGCGCGCATTCAAAATATTCATTGTTTTAAAAGTTTTCAATGACATTCTCAAGAAATCTTGAAATTTTTAAGTATTACGAGAACATGAAGAGGTCAGGGTATTCGCATATTTTAATTCCCGAGATTTTGTAATTTTAAATATAATACAAATGCCACAGCACGTGTTAAAATTAATCAAAATTTAATTTCATGTATTAGGAGAGAATAAAAACATCGCGGTATGTTGAAAATATAATTCCCGCCAATTTTATAATTTCAAATATAATAAAAATGCCAAACCACGTGTTAAAATGAAAAAAAATTTTTAATTTCAAGTATCAGGAGAACACAAATAGGTAATCTTATTTACGCAGTGCGCAGGCGCTTTTAAAATATTCAATGTTTGGATTGTTTTGGCGCTAAAATTTTGGAAGAAATCTTGAAATTAAAAAGTATCAGGAGAACATGAAGAAGCTGGAGTATTCTTATTCACGCAGTGCGCATGCGCTTTTAAAATATACAAAGTTTTGATTATTTTGGCACTAAAATTTGAAAAAATCTTAAAATTAAAAAGTATCAGGAGAGCATGAAGAGGTTGGAGTAATCTTATTTTCGCAGTGCGCATGCGCACACCAAATATTGTTTTGATAGATCTTCAACAAAATTTAAAAGAAATTTTTGGTATCAGGAGAACATGAAGAGGTTGGGGTAAACCTATTTTCGTTGATGGCGCATGCGCATTTCAAATATTCAATGTTTTGATATTTTTGAATGAAATTTAAAAATTTTTAATTATCAGGAGATTATGAAGATGTCGGGGTAATCTCAAAATGCAATTCCCGCCGAATTTGGAAGTTCAAATATAATAAAAATACAAAAGCACGTGTTTAAATAAAGAAATTTTTAATTTTAAGTATCAGGAAAACATAAAGAGGTTTTGGTATTCCTATTTATGCAGACTGCGCATGCGCAATTCAAATATTCATTGTTTTGATAGGTTTTCAAGAAAATTTAAAAGAAATTTTTAATTTTTGGTATCAGGAGAACATGAAGAGGTTGGGGTAAACCTATTTTCGTTGATGGCGCATGCGCATTTCAAATATTCAATGTTTTGATATTTTTGAATGAAATTTAAAAATTTTTAATTATCAGGAGATTATGAAGATGTCGGAGTAATCTCAAAATGCAATTCCCGCCAAATTTGGAATTTCAAATATAATAAAAATCCAAAAGCACGTTTTTAAATAAAGAAATTTTTAATTTTAAGTATCAGGAGAACATAAAGAGGTTTTGGTATTCCTATTTATGCAGACTGCGTATGCGCAATTCAAATATTCATTGTTTTGATAGGTTTTCAACAAAATTTAAAAAAAATTTTTAATTTTTGGTATCAGGAGAACATGAAGAGGTTGGGGTAAACCTATTTTCGTTGATGGCGCATGCGCATTTCAAATATTCAATGTTTTGATATTTTTGAATGAAATTTAAAAATTTTTAATTATCAGGAGATTATGAAGATGTCGGGGTAATCTCAAAATGCAATTCCCGCCAAATTTGGAAGTTCAAATATAATAAAAATACAAAAGCACGTGTTTAAAAAAAGAAATTTTTAATTTTAAGTATCAGGAGAACATAAAGAGGTTGGGGTATTCCTATTTATGCAGACTGCGCATGCGCAATTCAAATATTCATTGTTTTGATATGTTTTCAACAAAATTTAAAAAAAATTTTTAATTTTTGGTATCAGGAGAACATGAAGAGGTTGGGGTAAACCTATTTTCGTTGATGGCGCATGCGCATTTCAAATATTCAATGTTTTGATATTTTTGAATGAAATTTAAAAATTTTTAATTATCAGGAGATTATGAAGATGTCGGGGTAATCTCAAAATGCAATTCCCGCCGAATTTGGAATTTCAAATATAATAAAAATACAAAATCACGTTTTTAAATAAAGAAATTTTTAAATTTAAGTATCAGGAGAACATAAAGAGGTTGGGGTATTCCTATTTATGCAGACTGCGCATGCGCAATTCAAATATTCTTTGTTTTGATATGTTTTCAACAAAATTTAAAAGAAATTTTTAATTTTTGGTATCAGGAGAACATGAAGAGGTTGGGGTAAACCTATTTTCGTTGATGGCGCATGCGCATTTCAAATATTCAATGTTTTGATATTTTTGAATGAAATTTAAAAATTTTTAATTATCAGGAGATTATGAAGATGTCGGGGTAATCTCAAAATGCAATTCCCGCCGAATTCGGAAGTTCAAATATAATAAAAATACAAAAGCACGTGTTTAAATAAAGAAATTTTTAATTTTAAGTATCAGGAAAACATAAAGAGGTTTTGGTATTCCTATTTATGCAGACTGCGCATGCGCAATTCAAATATTCATTGTTTTGATAGGTTTTCAAGAAAATTTAAAAGAAATTTTTAATTTTTGGTATCAGGAGAACATGAAGAGGTTGGGGTAAACCTATTTTCGTTGATGGCGCATGCGCATTTCAAATATTCAATGTTTTGATATTTTTGAATGAAATTTAAAAATTTTTAATTATCAGGAGATTATAAAGATGTCGGAGTAATCTCAAAATGCAATTCCCGCCAAATTTGGAATTTCAAATATAATAAAAATACAAAAGCACGTTTTTAAATAAAGAAATTTTTAATTTTAAGTATCAGGAGAACATAAAGAGGTTTTGGTATTCCTATTTATGCAGACTGCGCATGCGCAATTCAAATATTCATTGTTTTGATAGGTTTTCAAGAAAATTTAAAAGAAATTTTAATTTTTGGTATCAGGAGAACATGAAGAGGTTGGGGTAAACCTATTTTCGTTGATGGCGCATGCGCATTTCAAATATTCAATGTTTTGATATTTTTGAATGAAATTAAAAAATTTTTAATTATCAGGAGATTATGAAGATGTCGGGGTAATCTCAAAATGCAATTCCCGCCAAATTTGGAAGTTCAAATATAATAAAAATACAAAATCACGTTTTTAAATAAAGAAATTTTTAAATTTAAGTATCAGGAGAACATAAAGAGGTTGGGGTATTCCTATTTGTGCAGACTGCGCATGCGCAATTCAAATATTCTTTGTTTTGATATGTTTTCAACAAAATTTAAAAGAAATTTTTAATTTTTGGTATCAGGAGAACATGAAGAGGTTGGGGTAAACCTATTTTCGTTGATGGCGCATGCGCATTTCAAATATTCAATGTTTTGATATTTTTGAATGAAATTTAAAAATTTTTAATTATCAGGAGATTATGAAGATGTCGGGGTAATCTCAAAATGCAATTCCCGCCGAATTTGGAAGTTCAAATATAATAAAAATACAAAAGCACGTGTTTAAATAAAGAAATTTTTAATTTTAAGTATCAGGAAAACATAAAGAGGTTTTGGTATTCCTATTTATGCAGACTGCGCATGCGCAATTCAAATATTCATTGTTTTGATAGGTTTTCAAGAAAATTTAAAAGAAATTTTTAATTTTTGGTATCAGGAGAACATGAAGAGGTTGGGGTAAACATATTTTCGTTGATGGCGCATGCGCATTTCAAATATTCAATGTTTTGATATTTTTGAATGAAATTTAAAAATTTTTAATTATCAGGAGATTATGAAGATGTCGGAGTAATCTCAAAATGCAATTCCCGCCAAATTTGGAATTTCAAATATAATAAAAATACAAAAGCACGTTTTTAAATAAAGAAATTTTTAATTTTAAGTATCAGGAGAACATAAAGAGGTTTTGGTATTCCTATTTATGCAGACTGCGTATGCGCAATTCAAATATTCATTGTTTTGATAGGTTTTCAACAAAATTTAAAAAAAAATTTTAATTTTTGGTATCAGGAGAACATGAAGAGGTTGGGGTAAACCTATTTTCGTTGATGGCGCATGCGCATTTCAAATATTCAATGTTTTGATATTTTTGAATGAAATTTAAAAATTTTTAATTATCAGGAGATTATGAAGATGTCGGGGTAATCTCAAAATGCAATTCCCGCCGAATTTGGAAGTTCAAATATAATAAAAATACAAAAGCACGTGTTTAAATAAAGAAATTTTTAATTTTAACTATCAGGAGAACATAAAGAGGTTGGGGTATTCCTATTTATGCAGACTGCGCATGCGCAATTCAAATATTCTTTGTTTTGATATGTTTTCAACAAAATTTAAAAGAAATTTTTAATTTTTGGTATCAGGAGAACATGAAGAGGTTGGGGTAAACCTATTTTCGTTGATGGCGCATGCGCATTTCAAATATTTAATGTTTTGATATTTTTGAATGAAATTTAAAAATTTTTAATTATCAGGAGATTATGAAGATGTCGGGGTAATCTCAAAATGCAATTCCCGCCGAATTTGGAAGTTCAAATATAATAAAAATACAAAAGCACGTGTTTAAATAAAGAAATTTTTAATTTTAACTATCAGGAGAACATAAAGAGGTTGGGGTATTCCTATTTATGCAGACTGCGCATGCGCAATTCAAATATTCTTTGTTTTGATATGTTTTCAACAAAATTTAAAAGAAATTTTTAATTTTTGGTATCAGGAGAACATGAAGAGGTTGGGGTAAACCTATTTTCGTTGATGGCGCATGCGCATTTCAAATATTTAATGTTTTGATATTTTTGAATGAAATTTAAAAATTTTTAATTATCAGGAGATTATGAAGATGTCGGGGTAATCTCAAAATGCAATTCCCGCCGAATTTGGAAGTTCAAATATAATAAAAATACAAGAGCACGTGTTTAAATAAAGAAATTTTTAATTTTAACTATCAGGAGAACATAAAGAGGTTGGGGTATTCCTATTTATGCAGACTGCGCATGCGCAATTCGAATATTCATTGTTTTGATATGTTTTCAACAAAATTTAAAATAAATTTTTAATTTTTGGTATCAGGAGAACATGAAGAGGTTGGGGTAAACCTATTTTCGTTGATGGCGCATGCGCATTTCAAATATTCAATGTTTTGATATTTTTGAATGAAATTTAAAAATTTTTAATTATCAGGAGATTATGAAGATGTCGGGGTAATCTCAAAATGCAATTCCCGCCAAATTTGGAATTTCAAATATAATAAAAATACAAAATCACGTTTTTAAATAAAGAAATTTTTAAATTTAAGTATCAGGAGAACATAAAGAAGTTGGGGTATTCCTATTTATGCAGACTGCGCATGCGCAATTCAAATATTCATTGTTTTGATAGGTTTTCAACAAAATTTAAAAGAAATTTTTAATTTTTGGTATCAGAAGAACATGAAGAGGTTGGGGTAAATTTATTTTCGTTGATGGCGCATGCGCATTTCAAATATTCAATGTTTTGATATTTTTGAATGAAATTTAAAAATTTTTTTTTGTAGTTATTTGTAGAATTTTGTGGAACAAAATTAGTAGACACCGTGTATTATTGTTTTACAAGAATAAATTTTTTTAAAAATTATTTTATGTAAATGAAAAAAATTAGTAACAATATTATTAGTAGCTCATAATATATATATAAAATTTTTTTTGACAAAACTCTTTTAATATAAATAAAAAATAAATAGATTGTAAAAAAACAATAATATTTTTTATTACAACATGATGAATTATTTATGATAATTGATATGAGAATTTTTATCGTATATATATATTTGTATATATTGTATATATGTATATATTGTATTGTATATATGTATTGTATATATATGTATATATTGATATATTAATAATCAATATGTATATATTGTATATATATTTTAATAGAAGGAATTTATTTTATCAATATGTTGTTTCAACTCGTAAAACATAGATGGAGACTCTTAACTGAAAAGATCACTTTTGAAAGTTCTCTTCTTAACCACTTGAAAATCAACTTTTGTTTTCAAAAATCAATTTTAAAAAATATGAAATTCTTTTAAAAACAGTTTTATAATTAATAATAAATAATTTGATTTAATTTAATCACAATTAAAAATGAACATAATAATAATAATAATAATAATAATAATAATAATAATAATAATAATAATAATAATAATGTTTATAATAAAAATGAACAATGTAAAAGAAATAAAAATTTATTTTTGTATTATAATAATAAATAAATGCTAAAAATAATAAAAAATAATATTCTAAAAAATAAATTATTTAGTTATTCAATATTTTTTTTATTCTGTAAATTTATCATTTTTAAATTTAAACAAAAAGAAGAGAAAAATGACAGAAGTAAATATTAAATAATGAATCGTTCAATTTTTGTAAAAATTAAATAACTTTACAAGATTTTCATCTTTCTTTTAATGAGTCAATAAATTTCATGTTAATATGGTATATTGAACATGTGCGATTGTAATAAAGCATTTAATATACTCGAAATTGATTACTTCTCTTGAGATTCTCAAGGATAGAAAAAAAAGATTTCAGCCTCGCCTCAACATAAGATTTAATTTATCATTTTTAATTTTTTAACATTATAAACAGTTCAAGGGTGAACAACTTATATCTTTAAATTTCTTCTGTATATATTAAACTAAAAATTATTATTTTTTTAAAATGAAATAATCATTGAACCAAAATATACTGGAGTAGATTTTGTAAATTGTTTAATGTTTGCATTATTTTTTCTGTAATTTATTATTTATTTGAGATTTTTTATATTAATTTTATGCAATTAATTAATTTTAATTTAATTAACATTAAAAAGAAATAAAATTTCAACTTTTATTATTAATGAAAAGAAATTAATTTTTAATTTATATAAATTTATAAATACCCTTTCTATTAATATTGTTTAATAAATGTGTTTTTAAATAGTGTTAAGAAATACAATGTTAATTTCCATAATTTATTCTTTCTTTATTAAAAATAATTATTTATCGCAAATATAGTAGTAAATGAAAGAATAATATTTTCTTCTAATTATTTTGTAGACTTTTGTCCCCCAGAAACTTTGATTCTTTATTCAAAATTTTTATTTAATAAAAAATTTCTTAACCAATATTTCCTATTTTTTTGCAACCTTTTTTTGAATTGCTTTCATTTTTTTGTGTTTTTGAACATTTTGTAGCACATTTCTCAGTAGTTGATTTAGAATTTTGCTTTTGACTTCTCTGCAAAAAAATATTAAATTTAATTATATATTGTTATTTATTTTAGTGTATATTATAATTATTAAATTTAAAAATTAAATTTTTATTTTTATTATTAATATATTTACAAAAAATGTTATATTTCTTGATTTCTTACCCCGCGACATAATATTCTTTTGGGTTGATTTTTATTTGCATAAAATATTTTTGACCACGCTTCTTGTTCTTTCCACCAAATTCGCTGATATTCATTGGTCAGCAATTGTTCAATACATTGGTCACAATTTCTAAATTTATGTTTTTAAATAAGTAAATAAAAATAAATGTAAATAAATGATAAATAACTGTAAAATAAAGAAATGACAATTATCAAGCAAAAAGTTAAAAAAAAAATTCACTTACTTCTCGTAAGATGGTACAAATATTTTTGCTTTTGTATAATCCGATGATATAATGTGATCTGGAGTTTTTAATGGGGTAGCTGGTGTCCATGTTGCCGCAAGTTTCTTTTTATTATTGTTAGTCCACATTTGTTAATTATTAATTTTCCACAAAAAAATCAGGTTATAAATTCATATGCATTACTTTATTTCCAAGATTTTTGTCATTTGATTGTCATTTTTTTTCAACAAAACTTTTTTGTTTAAATTTTTTTCTACAAATAAAAACATATACAATTTCTTCTAATAAAACAAACTTTCTGATTTTCTCAATATATTAAATTTATTTAATTTTTCCTTTTTTAATTTATTAATTTAAAATTAAAAAAATAGTCCGTTTCTAAACGGGAAAAATAGTCACTTCTTTATTATTTTTTTCTCAATCATTTTTATTTTAATTAGAAAAAAAAAATTTTTTACGTTTCAAAATTTAATATTTAAACTAAAATGAACAAAATGAATTTAAAAACAAACAATTAAATATATTATATTTTTAATTGTATCAAGTTTTGTTAATCTATAATAAAAAAAAAGTGAGAAAAAAATAGTAAACAAGTGGCTATTTTTTTCTTTCTGTCTTCCTTACGAAGGATGAAGGCCCTAACATAACCTCAAAACTAAAAAATGGTTTTTAACGCAAACAAAACTGTAATAAAAATTAATATCAACAAATTTTAAAAGATCTATAGTTATACACTTTTGAAATTAATTTTTATTCATGTTTTGTTTGCGTTAAAAATCATTTTTCAGTTTTGAGGTTATGTTTAGAAGCCTCTATCAAGAAAAAACGAAATCAAAGTTATTAACAGAAGGTAATAATTTTCAAATGGAAAGCCGTATTCGATATTGTATAGCAATATATATATATATATATATATATATATATCGTTCGACAATAAGTGTTGTAAGAATTAAAATCCGTATATACGAATTTGTTAAAAATTACAATGTATATAACGTTAATCGATCACGGAAACAATGCGGTCTTACTTTTTAAACGCGCGTCTATATATAATACAATTTCAAATCTTTCGCAGAGTCTTTTATAATTAACTCTAATAAGCAATTAAACTCTCTCATCCGCGCTGCTGAGAGATCGGATCTTTGATTTGTCTGCCGCGCTGATCTCAATTATTTAACTTGTGACCAACGTTTGAACCAATCACTGCACCATCTCGTTACAGCTTCGTATATTATATACACTGAAATCATTAAAAGATACGATGTGCAATCTTTTACTCTCTCAGAGTATATAGAAGCGGTGTACGACGCAACATCACGTAAAAGAAAACACGATATTGAAAGAAATACACACGACTATTCAGGACAAACGTGGCCTGAATTTACCTTTACTTTTTTTTTTCTTTTCTTTTTAATTATAAATCTTCATATCTTCATATTTTTGTCTCAACATAGGTGTAACGATATAAACTATGTTCTCGAAAAAGAGGAAAACAGTAATAATGCACGCATGACACGTAAATACTCGCGAGCGCAAGCTTCGCAAAATTTTTTTTCTTAAAAATAAAAAAAAAAAATCTTTCTACAAATTTCTGAATTTGAATTCCATCAAATATGAAAAAAATAACTATTGAGTCTCTAGCATAAGTCATATATAATAATAATAATATATTATAATTTTGTTATAAACAAATTGTGAGATTTAAAAAAATATATATATTAACGTCATTCAATTTTACGTGAAAAATTACTACGAGAACATGTGTGACTAGATTTTTTTTATACCTAAGTTGTATAAATACTAAAACTATTATAATGCATCTGTACCCGCGAAATCAATCAAAGACAAGTTTGCTTATATTGCAATGAGTAATACAAAAAAAAAAGTTAGAAAAAAATATAGTGCCATGAAATTTGAACAGTAAACCAGAAGATTTCACGTCAATTGCATTGTACAACGACGACGAAGAAATTGCATTTTGTAATAGACTAGGTCGTATTTCGTTAGCAGATCATATTGCAAAAGAGATGTTGGATATATCGTTCTATATGATAGCCGTAATAGTTTGAGGGTAAAACTTTCTAACTCCGCGTATATATATAAAATATATATATATATATATATATATATATAAAATGCACCCGCGCGAAAGATTATTACTGAAACGCTACTGCAAGCGCGGGTAGCATCATTGTTTTGACAGAAACTATATAATATATAATCTATTTTCTAATCTTCCTGACTAACCCGATGACATGATCAGATTTATATATATATATATATATATATATATATATATATATTTCCGAATTCCGCGACCTAGTTTTGCGAAAACCGTGATTTAATTTCGCGAATTCCACAACCTAGTTTTGCAAATTCGTGATCTAATTACGCAAATTCCGCGATATAGTTTCGCGAATTCCGCGACCTAGTATTGCAAAATCCGTGATCTAATTACATAAATTGCGTGATCCAATTTCACGAATTCCGCGATTTAATTTTGCGGATACTGTGAACTAATTTCGAAAATTCCGCGATCTAATTTCACGAATTTTATGACTTAGTTCAGCGAATTCGTGATTTAATTACACAAAGTCCGCGATCTAGTTTCGCAAATATCGTGACATACGTTCGCGAATTCCGCGATCTAATTTTGCAAATATTGTCAACTAATTTCACGAATTCCGCGACCTAGTTCCGCGAATCTGTAATCTAATTACGCAAATTCCGCGATCTAATTTTGCGGATATTGTAAACTAATTTCGCTAATTCCGCGATCTACTTTCGCCCAAACCGTGATCTAATTTCGAAAATTCCGCGATCTAGTTTAGCGAATATATTGACCTTAGTTCGTGAATTCGGCGATCTATTATTGCGAATATTGTGAACTTATTTTGCTAATTTCGCGATCAAGTTTTTCGAATATCTTGACCTAATATCATGAATTGCGTGATCTGTTTTCGCGAATTCCGCGATATATTTTCACGAATTCGTCATCTAATTTTGCGAATTCCGCGACATGTTTTCGCCAAAACCGTCATCTATGTGAATCCCGCGACAATTTGAATTCACTTTTAAAAATACGTTTGCATTTTAATTAATTAATACTGAATATGAAAATTTAAAAAGGAAATTTATTTTTAAAAAAAGATAAAGAAATTTCGAAGCATCCCTTTAAGTGATAAAGATGTTTCATATGAATAGGAAATAAAGTTAACTTACGCATATGAAAAATATCTCACATCCTGCAAGAAATCTAAATATATATCAATTTTATATAAATTGTGTTATTCGCATGATTGAAACTTGTGTAAAATTATGAGGCATTTATTAAGGGAAATGAATGAGTATATATGCACGCTTAGAAGATTTATATGGGGTATTTATTTTAAATCAGATCTGACCGATTGCTTCAATCTGTCTAAAGAAAACTGGTTTTTCACTATAAAAGAAAAATATCAATGCAATGAAATATATGCAGATAAATATTATCAAAGTTATTTTACTCATGCACTTAAATTCTTTTTTTTGTATATATATATATAGAAAATGTATAAAGTTCTAATTGTTCTGAATCGGTGGTATTTCCGCAATCCACAAGAACGATTGGCTACGCGTTACGAGAAGATATACATAGATACAAGGCACGCATTAAAACCGGTATTATTCTCTTCAGTTATGTCTCCATTAGATGCGAGTAAAAGTAGAGAGAACTTTACTTATAGATTATACGTTAATTATCACTATCCAGGAGCGCAAATTCTATTTTTAATCGATTTATAAAGAGCCATGCAGTGACTAACCTTTTCGAAAGTAATTACTGTTTTCGCCCTTTTTTTCATACAAACATCATTTTTTAAAAATATATTATATAGTTACATATTCAAGAGTATACTCTATAATTAAAATAGACAAGAAATTAGTCACTCGAAATTATTGATTGGCGTATTAAGCGATACAAATTTTTTTCAATATTGATTTTAAAAAATTTTTAGAAAATTTATTTTAAAGTTGAATAAATAAAAAAAAAATTTCTATGAATAAGATAATTAGAAAAATAATTTAATCATTCTATAATTTATTAGTTACTATTCATTATTTACTTGTTACTGATTATTCTATGATGCATATATATTTATTTAATTCCTTGTGATTATTTAAGATTACTTGTTATAATTTGATAAACACTTCATTATATTACTAATATATATATAGTAAATTTTAATAACAAATTGGCTTATTATCACTTGAATGGATTTGCTAATTACATGGCGTTTAATTCAATTTTTATCAAGTTATTCTGATTTAGAAAGTATTATATGGAAATAGGTTTCATTTTAAAATGAATTTAACTAATTTACACAACAACACACACACCAATGTATGACAATCGAAAACCTTGATGGCAAAATTCAGATCAAAAAGCAAATTAAATTATTTTTGACAATATATTTAAATGAGTGGCAATCGATTTTGGTTGTGTGCCTTATTCAAAAATTAAACCATAATCTTGCGATGATGTCATTTTATATATTATAGCCTTCGATGACGGATTATATAGACTTTCGGTTCATTGTTGTCTCGTTAAAAGATTATAATATACTTTCATTTGTAGGTGGTCCAAAAAGGAATCGATCAATTTCAAAAAAAAAAATTTTTTTTGACCTACTTTAGAACTATATTGGACCTAGTTTGAACCTACAAAGGACCAATGTTGGACCTACTTTAGGCTTACTTTAGACCTATTTTAAAAGTATATTTAAACCTACAATGGGCCAATATTGAACCAACATTAAACCTACTTTGGACTTAGATCAAACCTAAATGGCACCTATGTTGGACCTACTTTAGGTTTATTTTAGACCTATTTTGGACCTACAATGGGCGAACATTAAACCTATTTTAAAACTTTTTCAAACCTACATGGGACCTACTTTAAGCATATTTTCGTATCGGGGTGTCAATTTTTTTCTACACTTTTAGGTGTATTTTGTGCAAGAAAATGCAATAAAATAGTCTGCCTAAGAAAAATTGAATTATTTTGAAAATTTTTTTTTGACGAAAATCGCTGTAATGGTCATAAAAATGGTGTTCCTCTACTCGGATCCGGCTGTCAATTTTTTTCTACACTTTTAGGTGTATTTTGTGCAAGAAAATGCAATAAAATAGTCTGCCTAAGAAAAATTCAATTATTTTGAAAATTTTTTTTTGACGAAAATCCCTTTAATGGTCATAAAAATGGTGTTCCT